AAAGTGCATTTAGCATGATATGTCTCCTTTAAATGGTGTTTTTGGGGTGGTAATTATGCTAATCTCCTCTCGCGTGCACGAGCAGCTGGATACGAACAGGTGGAATTTACACAGCTCATTTACACACTTTTCCTGAAGATAGAAGAGTTTGTTGAATCTGACGTGACATGTTCGTATGAACACTTTGAACGAACAAAAGTAAGAGAAATTTAGGATAAGAATACGAACATGTTCTTGCATGAGGCCCAATGTCTATGTTTAAGAAAATGGTAAAGATCATTTTGTTAAAGAAATATGAAATGTAATAGTGTGTGTTCATAGGAAATGATACTAAATAAGGATTTGAGGTTGTTTTTTGTTTGTTAGTTTTTGTTTGAAGATCATTATTGTTTGAATTTATTTTTTTTTGAGAAAAAAGGTGTAGATGTAAGATTTTTCCTTCTGTTGCCTTTCATTTTATTTTTGTGATTTGTGCTTTTTTTGTACATAAATGTTGTTTTTATAAGAAATGAAATGAATAAACAAACTGAATATTGGACCTTCTGGGGTACCCCTCTTGGAGGCGCAAAATGGTTTAGTCTGCCCGACAGCAACCGGCAACAAGTGTAACGTCAGTAAACCCAGACTGTGAGCTGAGGGCAGACCAGTACAGACCATCAGGAGAACCGGGAGGCTTCCTGTGGTCTGCCTGCCTCCTGGCTGGCCTGCTCAGACGGTCAAAAGCTCCGGTCGCTCTAGAACTTTTAAATAAATTTGGTGTCATCAATGCACCTTGGTTCAGTCCTGCTTCAGTCAGAGCTGCTGCGTGTCCCGGAGTCCGACACCTCCCCCCTTGCCCCCTCCCTTCCTTTTCTCAGGCTCGACACACACAAAGTGCAGAGAGGCGCACACACACACACACAGTGCAGACACACAACGTGGTGATGAATTCTCAGTGCTCCTGGAGCTGCAGCAGGTAACGTCAGTCTCATTAACAGAACAGCCAACTTTTGATCAAACTTTATTCTTTACAAAGAACCAGAAATAAGTCCAAATGTCTGCACAGGACAGCTGTTTTTCTTATGAAAAGTCACCTGTCATAGATCACTTTTAGTGATAGCACTTAATCTATTGGGTTGTTTTTAATCAGTTAAACTGTATTTTAATCCTAAGATTGAGTCCAAGTTCGCTCTGATATTTTTTGATTAAAATTTACATTCATAAATTACCAAATATTTCTGTTATTTAGTCTACCTGCTTCAGTACACGTGTTTATAGTAGCCTAAAGCTTATAAATATTATGGTATGTT